CTGCACCACGTGAGCGCCATCGCCGATACGCGTGAGGAAGCTCGCGGGCTTCGGCAGCGTGGAACCAAATTTGGCCACAGGATAACCAGCATCCAGCGTGTCCATGAGCTTCTGCGCGTGCTGCTGCTGCACGAGCGCCACGATGCAGCCTCCGAAACCGCCGCCCGTCATACGCGCGCCAAACACGCCTTCACAGCCGCGAGCCGTCTCCACCAGGTAGTCCAGCTCGGGTGTGCTCACTTCGTAGTCGTCACGCAGAGACGTGTGGCTCTCGAACATGAGCTGGCCCGCCTCGGCGTACTGACGCGCACGGATGTGCTCCACAGCAGCCACCGTGCGCCCGTCCTCCGTGACCACGTGGCGTGCTCGACGATACACCACCTCATCGCCCAGCGCCTCACGCACCGCGTCCAGCTCGGACATCGTCGCGTCACGTAGGTGCGTCATCTGCGGATGACCGTGAGTCTGGAGAGTCTTGACGGCCGCCTGGCACTGCATGACGCGCTCCTTGTACTCGCCGCCGTTCAGCTCATGCTTAACGTTCGAGTTGCACACCACAATAACCACGTCCGGGTCCTGGAAGGCCACAGGTGTGGGCTCCTTGGTGCGGCAGTCGATCAATAGTGCGCAGTCTTTCTTGCCACACGAAGAGATGAACTGGTCCATGATGCCACACGGCACGTTGCAGTACTCGTGCTCGGCTGCTTGGCACAGTAGCGCTTTCTGAATAGCCGACACGCCTTTGATCTCGAACAAACTCTCCAAGAAGGTGGCAAATCCCACCTCTAGCGCCGCAGAGCTGCTCAGACCGCTACCGAACGGCACGGTGCTCACGATAGCCGCGTGCACACCCAGAGGCTCCTTACGGTTCAGGTGTTTGAGGTATTCGGCCGTCACGCCTTTGGGGTAGTTACCCCATGACGGCTGCGTCTTGTCCAGTTGCTCCGTGTTGTCGGCCGGGAACTCCAGCACCTGACCGGGAAAGCTCGCGGACGTCAGTTTGGAAATCGATGCAGACTCGGCGGGTGCGCGTACGCCCACCACTACCGTCGTCTTGTCCAGTGCCAAGGGACACACGAAGCCGTCGTTGTAGTCCGTGTGTTCACCAATGAGGTTCACGCGTCCGGGTGCGGCTGCGATGGTCAGAGCCTCGCGCGGGAGGTTAGCGTACTGCTTGAAGGAGGAGTAGAAGAGGTTGACAGCCTGCTCCACCACGTCGACGTTGTCGGATCCGGTCATGGATGTCTTGGTTTGAGATGCGATGTGTTGCTTGGTTGCTTGGGAAAGAGGCAATTGCAAAGTGAGACCTTGAGCACGGCGTGGTGGTGGTTGGGAAGTTACGGGTGGAGGAATCAAGTGCAGGAACTGCAACGTTGGTCTCTAGTTGACGTCGACTGTAGCTCGTCAAAGCGTAGACAGTTGTCCTCCTGGCTTTGGCTTCTTGCGGCTATTGGCGTTATACAATGACATAACATTGAATGGAATAATTCCGAGTCGCGTTCAAGTAAGCACTACTCAGTAAATCTGCCGTTTTTCAAAATAATTAAAAAAAATCAATTGAATTATTTTAATTCGATTTGGGCTTTATTTTCTGTCAACTTCTTGTGCAATACCGATGAGAAACCGGTATTTTCCGCCTTGAAGAGTTGCACGCAGACGAAAGAAACGCCACGATCTACCCAACTTCAAACACTGTCGTTCCGCCCTATTGATCGTGTGGCATGCCACGCAATAGCTGACACTGTGGTGTTAGGCCTAACCAGACATTCAGCGGTGC